GGTGTAATCAGGCCTTTTTAGTTCCCCTAATCCGTAGGCAGCCTCCCCAAAAATATAATTCTTAATAGTACACTAGCTGCAAAGTGTAAAGTCATAATCAGCTCTGAAACTTTGACGTAATTCGTAGTCAGCGGAGAAAAATTGCATAATTCGTAATCACTACACCCCCATGCAGGCCCTCACACATGTACTTGCTTTCCTGTTACAGTATTAGTTTATCCTGCCTTGGCCCTCCTCAGCCAGGCCTCTCTTGGCCCCTACTGGCTTTGGCATGATCTCCTGTGAAAAGGTGTCTTTCTTTTAGAGTATACATGTAACCTACTGGTGTCAGAGAAAAGCACAATTTGAGGGTGTGCATGTCATGGTCATGGGCACAACATACAGTTAACATGTCTGACCATGGAGACTACATGTTCATTGGGCATGCCTGTCTGATCATCTCTCCACTTCAAAATAAGGTTGTATGAACTTGTCAGGGTCCACAAATTTTGCCTCCTAAAATTTTTACTGACTCGCAAGCAAAAAAGCATTATGTAGAAGAATTGCACAGTTGTTACAGAATATGTAACTATGGAGAAATTAAGTAGATAAACATGTCAATAATTGAAAGCAAGATTGCTTTTTCTACAATGTAAAGACACAAACATTCAACATGTGTCTACGTGTGTTTGAGAGCTGGCCCAGTAGTTAGGATTCTGGTTGTCTGAGCCTGAAACTTCAGACTCAAGTAGTCCAAACTGTGAGGTAACCCATGAGGAATGATGGAAAATTGCAGTTTACACGCTATCCCCTGGAATCAGCCTGGTAAGTCTGTGTTGTTTTAGTCCATCATGGCTGTCTGCTAATGAGGTCAGACTAGCTGTCCAGGGATTCAGCCTGGCAGACTCTGGGAATCATTGGACAGTGGGGGGTGTCAAGTTCCTGTTAAACTGACCATAGATCTGTAAATCAGAAGTATACTAAAAGGCCAACAATTGCAAGCAAAAGTATTTCCCAAGCTTTATCAGTCCATGTATTCCCAGGCCAAAATGATGTCATAGAGGCATTATAGATTTTTGGCTATTTGTAACAAACACACTAAATGATAACCTTTGAGGACCTGCACCTGAGGGGAAAATTGCAAATGAACAAGCACATTGGTACCAACTTGAAAGTCCAATTTGCAGGTCATTTGGGCCATAATATTGTGGCACATACATGTAGGCCTGTGAGTTATATACATTTTTGGCTATTTTTACCCAAAATAACCTAAATAAGGCTGGCATCTAAAAAAAGTGAACACCTTTCACCAAGGTACACTATCTTTTTTCCAAATTTCAGGTCATTCGACTGTACATTGTAATATAGAGGCACAGAAGCCAATAATATAGATTTTCTACTATTTTAACCCAAAGTAAGCCATATAAAACCATTTGCAAGTCTTAGATTTGAATAAAAAACTTGGAAAGCAAAATCTTAGCATAATATTTATGCAAAGCTATCCCCATGCCATGCAGGGTATTGGGCTGTCATAAAGTAGGACAAAAGCAAAATGCATTTCTGACATTTTTAACCAAAATAAGCTGATACTAGTGATAGTAGCATTTAGGGGAGTGAATCTATCACTTATCACCATATTAAATGATACATTTTGTGGGACAATTTCACAGTAGTGTATGAAATCTTTTTTAAAATTTAGATTTCTGCGCAGAAATCTGTGCAGAATTCTGCAGATTTCTGCAGAATTCTGCAGATTTCTGCAGAAATCTTTGCCCCGTGTGTCAATGGAATTTCCCTAATGTGGGTAACGGGAGCATGGTATTTTCCCATATATGCAAATATAATTCATTAATATATGCAAGATTTATGCATACATGCAAGCACGTGCATTCATTACTACAACTTGTATACCCTATGTATCATAAGCAATTCATTCTACATATAACGTTACTCCTTTGCACTCATTCTTTCTACCTCAACCTAAGGCACTCCTACATACCCCTGCTCACTCTTACGCACCCTGTGCACTCCCACGCACCCTGTGCACCCCCATGCACCCTGCGC